CTATGATTGCTGCTACACCTGCCGCTATTGGAGCCTGGCGTATTGTTAGTACTTTTGTTGGACGACACCGGGGTACGAACCCGGCTTCCTGAAGACGACGACCCTCCCCTCTCCTCAGGCGAACCTGCCTTGTCCCTTGTACACGACTCATAGGGCTTGAAACTGGACTTGACAGCAACGTCGCATATAGAATTGCTGCCGATTGATGAAGCCGGTGAGGCCTTCTCTCGCGGGGTGTCTGCCTTGCTGCTCTTCGTAGTCTTCTCCAGCGGCGGGATCAGTGGCTTCGAACTGGGAGAATCGGCTCCGATCTGACTGCATGTTTGAGCCAGGAGGGCCAATGGGCTCTTCTTAGCATCGAGCTAGAACACACAATAACAGCCCTCATAAGTACTACGAAATTCAATGAAATCTGGTTTAAAATGCGGAGCAGGCGTATCTGGAGGCTGGTAGCTACCTGGAACGAACTGCACTAGCGGAATTTAATTTACAGACATGTCTGATACCTTTGTATGTTTTATAGCTCCATGTCTGAAACGAAGAGCTGTTATCCGGTGGATATTCAGAAACAGGTTCCACGATTCACAAAACGTGTGCAGGTTTGCCGCGGACATTTTCATTAATTTACTTCTCTTCTGGCCGTGTCACAACTTGACAACCTTATACTTTCCTTCACATCAAGAGAGAGAAAGAAGATTACAAAAACTCCGCTACTCAGCCCCGGGTTTTCTGCGTCATTTCTTCCCTTCACCTGTTGTACCCAGGAACGCAAAGAGCATATAAAAATATTATGGATAAAGCCTTTCAAATTTAGAAACCAAATTGCCTTTTGTCGGTTCCACAAACTTTCGTGACATCTTGGTGGTTGACATCACAAGTTCTGCTCACATTTACTGAAATCATCTGATAAATCTGGATTTATGAAAATACTGCAGTATCTAAGGGCAAGAAATAATATCAACATAGGCCAACATAAAAACAAGTTTCATAAAATTAAAATAAATAAAATGAAGAACCCAATATCCGGTAACTTGAAATTTTCAAACTTCGGGTCTACAATAATTATTCAAAAAAAAATGGTTACAGCGGATCTAGCTTGATCATGTCAGAGGCTGAAAATAAAAAGAATTTAAATTTGTTAATCTTGCTTAGCTTTGAGCATTGTATTATATACATGCGCACATACACAGTACATTACGTCCATGAATGTACATATGTTAGAGTAGCAAGATTAATATATTTATGCTTTACATATTTACTTCTTATATTTAATGAAGACAAGCAAAACATTTTCATCTTATGCTCAGTTAATGACATACAGAAGTGAAGCATGACAAATTGTTTACAGTGTGTTTTAATTAAATCAGTTCAAACTAATTATTAGCTGTATACTAGTTCCCTCTTTTCATTCGGTCTGTTTTATTGTAATTCACGCAGCTTTGTGAAAAGTCTGGGGACAATTAAAATTTGTATCACAGGCCGCACGATCAAACTCCGTTATCGTCGTCACTAACCCAAACTTGGCATCTCGTGCCTTCGACGACGACGTTAGAAGCATAACCCAACAAAGACAAGTCCCAATAGTTGATTGTAACCACATTCATTATTTTGATTAAGATGCCAGAAAAGTATAAATTCCAAACGTTATCCATTAAAATCAGAATGTTGGGAGACTTGTTTCAGTCACCGTTAAGCCTAACAGAAAATTTTAGGGGCCCTTCTTGCCATATGCGTGTCACTAGCAATACCTAATGACCACGAAAACAACCAAGTTCCGAAGTCTTAACTTTTTGAAACTACAGCGGTCCTAGAGTAATCTCTCTGCAAACCCTTAAAAAGTAACATTCCAAAACGCATTTTATTTGAATACTTTTAATAAAAAAGAACCAGAAGATAAATTACGCCAGTTAAAAGCCAATAGGACTCTCCTAAATCTATGTCACAAAAGATTTTGAATCATTCAGTAGCTAGATTCCTAGGATTCCAAAATGTTTGCCTGCAAGAAATGGTGCTCGGGTAAGGAAATTAATATAATTGGACTATAAATTATCTTGTCTTTGTTCCGGCAGAAAATGCATGCAGCAAATCCTTTCGGTTCGCTACTATCTGTTTCACAATAAATAATTCTGAGGTTGACGGTCTCTTTTTCGAGTGGATCAACACACACACACACACACACAAACACACCGGCACTTCATCCAGTCGCCCGCACCTCAAATAAGAAGGGGTTTGAGGCAGTCTGCATTTATTAGGAAACTGATGTTATTTGTTAGATCATCCTGAAACTTTCAAACATTTCGAATATACAATTGTAATGAAAACTCAGATACAGCTGTAGAACTCCACTCACATTAATCAAATCCACGTGTAAATTATCTGCAACGTAATTATATTAGTACAAACGTTGTATTGTTTTCTAAAAGCGGGTTTACAGACAGGGTCACACAAATAGTACTCATCAAACTGTTCATCACTAACCGTCATTTTCTAAGACGGGGGTTCTTAAAATCTTCCGGGCCTAAAGCAAAATTTACACTTTCTTATAGACTTCATTCTAAGTTATAAAAAATGCCGCTAACCTAATATTGAAAAAAGGTTCAAATATTATTCAATAATTTTCTATAACAAAATTATACATTAGTGAAGTATATGTAATTGATTTTGCTTGAGTAATCTGTCGATATAACGGTAAATTCCGGATGATCCGATTCGCGTGCATCTCTCCGGGTGTTAATAATTTCAAAACAACCTTCTAGTTCTTGATTTGACATTCTTCATGAACATTTAAAATTATTCTATGTCAGGAATTTTTCCATCGTCTGTTCTTTAAAATCACGGAGGCTGAGCTCTATTTAAGGGACCCAACAGAGTAGGTACCTGTCACCTGAAGACGGAGACAGAACCAGCTTCCGAAACATCGTGATTTTAAAGAACAGACGATGGAAAAAGTCCTGACAAAGAATAATTTTAAATGTAAACTACCGTCGTCAAAACCCTTTAGAATTGAATTCTTTATGAAGTTGAGACCAGCCGGAGACCTAGACGTTGATCTTAGATCTTAGGGAAATACAATCCGATCACGGGCTCTTATGAACACGGGCAGGGAATTTTGATCAGCTTAGCGAATATCAGCTTCTTAAGAATGGCCCCTAAGTGGTGATTATACTGACAGCACTATCCTCCTCGTATTACCTCCTAGGTATACTAAGGAAAGTCACGAAAAATTCGATCAGAATGACTTGTTCGATTTACGCCACGGACTTGATGAATATTAATCAGGACTGTCGAAGCACTTCGCCAGAACAATTTGTTCTGACCTCTGCCATGCTGATTATTTACAAGGCTACACCCAGAAGATGCTAATGCCCCACTGAATTCCCCAAGGTCCTGAATATCGATAAACGAAACAGGTTCTCACGCCCTTGTGTCTGACTGTATTTTATCTGACTGTTACACTTTTAATACGCATTTCTGGTTTGCAGCTGTCTGAATGTCGGCCATTAATCGACTTCATAAGAATCTTTACTAGGCAGAAAACACGTTGGAAAGAATTAAAATATTTGTGCCATGCATTCAACCTGATGTAGAGGACGAACAGAAAGAAGTCATGTACGTGTTAAAATATTTTGATTCTGTCGCTCCTCGCTTTTGGCATTTCCTTAGTATCACAAATTTTGAATATCACCTTCCTCACATTTCTTGGTCTATGTGGAATTTCATACGAGTGACAAGTGAACCACGTAAGATACAATATATATGGAAAGAAAATTAATTCGGCGATATGCAATACATACTCATGTAAATTCCACCGATCTGTTTATAATGTTTAGCTTAAGCAGGAAGTGAAAATATATGTGAAAATTCACACAATGCAAATAATCAGGTAGAGCAGAAGTTGTGAAAAGAACTTGCGATGACTGCGTTCCTTCAAATGCTTTAGCGTATGTAGTACGAATACCACAAATGACAGAATAATAGTTAAAAATGTTTTTCTTAATACATTAAAATGTTTCGTACAAATTTGTAGTTTGTCTCTGTCCTAGATCCTGTCTCCATACAAAATTCCACACACCTCTCTCCAATGGATTATTATCTATTGCAAATCAAACTGAGAGCTAATTAGATTTTAAGCTTTTGTTTTGCATAAAACTAAATTATGACTAAGGCTTTATGCTTCTCGAAGATTAACTTCTACTTATACATTCAAAACCACACAATATATGTCGCCCCCACCTCAAAAGTTCGCACTGCCGTGTTTTAGTGGCGTTAGGATGGTCCCTAATGAAATAATTTTCACCTTAACTTTCATATAGATCCGTTAGTACGTTCGAACTTTATTAGGAAGGAACATTTAGAGGGACACAGACATATCGTACCTATTTGTAAGTTGTCAAAAGCTACAGTTTCATCTTGCTGACAAAGATGTCCAACTGTTCGGCGAATGGTTTGACAGTAATGGTATGAGGCTGCCACTGAGCTAGTTCAAATATTTCACTTGTTACTTCCTCGTGAAAGAAAATTAGGGACATTCAAAAATATACTTTATATCCCAATACGCGTTCGATAACAGAATCATAACTATGGTTTAAGACTACTGCAGAGTTTCGTTTACGTCTTGTCTTAAGAAATTTAGACGAAATGACTCGAATGTTATGATAATTATTAACTCGAAGTATCTGAGTAAACATTCATATATATATATATAATACCTACATAAAGTTACTTATTTGATATTTCTAAACATTCGTATCTTTAATGTTTACTACTGCTCTAAGTTCATAACATACAACCACGTATATAAAACAGCAGGTATGATTATAGTTTGAACGTGTCGCGGGAAACGATACAATGGCGTTACATTGTGGTTTATGCTTTCAGGACTGAGCACGGATAAACGTGGAATTTCCATGGCGACCGCGATAAGCTGATGGTGAAGATTAAAACTATAGTCAACGAGCGGTCCTAAATACGGAGACCTTGGCATCAACGTTGTTCGCCTTGATACAACTCCACTTAAATGATGGAATTAATCAGGACCTTTACTCAATACATTTCACGAAAATATCTGGCCAGTAATATTCTTAATATTTTCATGACTTTGCAATAGCTATGTGTAAACACAAATTTCATTCAGTAGCAGAAGCAATATCCCATCCGTAACAGTGGCTGACTGCAATTAAAATTCGAGTTCATATGCCTAATTAAATCCAACATGCGATCTGATATCACTCGGAAAAACAGATGTATACATAGGCCCTAATAATTGTTCAACAATTTTTACACGTATTATATACTGGGGATACTGGGATCGACCCGTTCTTCAAGTGCCTGAACACTGCGGGTCCCAACTTTTCGTTGGCTT